TAAAAAAATATGCATATTGGGAGGATATTTTTGTCCAAAGTGGAAATAGAATAAGTATAAAGGATTAAAGTCTTTTAAAATTTTAAATTGTTAATTCTTATTGTATGATTTATAATACTTTTACGCTATTTTCAAATAATAGAGGTCATTTCTTCTTTCTCAATGTATGTAGTACTAAAAAAAATTTGAGATTCAATCAATTTTTTTTTCTTTGAAATATTTATAGCTGTTAATTACTGTAATTTATAGTACTTTCTAAGAAATTTTCAAATAATATATATTATTTCATTTGTCCCAATTTATGTATCACCAGTAAAATTTGAAGAGTCAATCAGATCTTTTATATATTTTTATATCTTTTAAATATTTAAGTAATTAATTATCGTGATTCATAATATTTTATACAATTATTTAGTATAGTAAAATAAATTTAAAAGAAACAAACGAAACAAACAAAACAAATTCATCATAGGAAATTACCAAAGCATCCTTCAATACATCAATAATGGGTCCGACTTTTTGTTTTTAAGAAATTGCACATTCGAAGGATATTTTTGTCCAAAGTGAAAATATTGTGTAAAAAATGTGTATTTATTGTGATTTTGAATGTTTTGTGGGGTAATAGAACGCACGCAAAGTTAAGGTGTCTTTTTGAAAATCTGGGACAACTTCAATTATCACTTAATGTTTTTTCTCAAAACCTAATTTACTTTCGTAAACTATGTGTCAGATCAAAATAAGATTAACAAATTCAAAAGGAATGAGTAATAAATAGCTCATACAATGACATATTTATTATTTAAAAGAAGTACTCCTTTTGATTGAAAGCTAACAAGATAGTTACAATGTAACTAAATACTATAAAAATCTTTGCATTGTGGCTTATTATATATAGATAGATATAGTAATCTCATCATTTTAATACAAATGAAAGGATAAAACAATCTCGGAATTAGTTAAATATGAAATAAAGTAATCTCAACTTTATCTCGAAATTATTTTCTTTATCCCACGTACTAAACAAACCCTCAGAGTTCTAATTTACCAGTGTTGTTCTTCAAATTTTTGATTGCTTATATTACATTACAGCAAACAATTGTCACAATTGCCGTCTTAGCTCAGTGGTAGAGCGCGTGGCTTTTAACCACGTGGTCGTGGGTTCTCGATCCCCACAGACAGCGATTTAATTAATTTTTTATTTTTTTTGTAAGTAATTTTTTATTTTTTGCAAAACCAACTCAACATTTTACACAAAAACAAAACAAAGTGAGGTCAACATATAGTATTTATTTATAAAATTAAAATATTAACTTAAGCAAACATTGTTATTTTCGATGAATTAATCCCCTTTAGCATTAAGTATTGAATTTACATATAAGTCGTTATGAATTTGAGGTACCATTTCAAGAATAATGTTTTTAGCTAACTATGCACTTATGCTAATGTCAAATTATACAACTTTCAATATATCACTCAAATAGTATAAGACAAATCTAGGATTTAAATATTATAAGTTTTAAGTTTCGAAATTATATCACAATTTATTCGATTTAATTTAATTGAAATCTATTTATTTCATAAAATTTTAACACATATAGCTAGTGTACTAAATAAGGGTTCAGATGAATATCGTAACTTTTGCTAGACTTTGTATTTATATCAAAAAATTCATTAAACGTATAAGAACATTTAATTATGAACCGAGTAACTAAGATGAATTATGAGTTAAATAACAAATTCCAAATCCACAAATTATTTTAAATTCTGACTCAGTCTCTCGACTCGATCACTCCTCTAGCTCTAAGGGCTTAAAGTATTTTCTGTCAATAAGATAAGTGCCAATGCTGAGACGAACTGCCCACACGTCCATAGGCTTCCTTGACACTATCCTGCATTACATTAATTCAATTTTATTTAGTATAAACTTACATGTATAAAGTTTAGTTTTTTTTTTTTTTCACTCATATAATTTGAGCTAAATACCATAGCTTATATCGAACATAATGTGTTTAGTCTAAACGAAAAAATAATTTTCAATTAGCATCAAGAGTAAGTTTTTGGGTTGAGTTAGTCAGCCTCTAGGTTCATTTCTTTATCATGGTATCAGAGTCAGGTTCACCTAATTCAATATTTTCGATGGTTGATCTACTGTATAATATTATTCATGCTTCAAATGTCCAATCTTAGACGTGCAAAGAACCAAGGAGTGTTGTTGTCCCATGTCAATGGGTCCAAAGGTCCTTAATTTCCTTTTATGATATTGAACAAGGTTCATTACTTTATCATAGTATATAATATGAAACGACTTTTTAATTCACCAAAAACTTAACATATTTCGCACAATCATCGTGGCAATTAAAGATGATCTAATAGTATAACACACAAAGCAGGATAATAATATTTTATACACATTGTAAAAACTCGTATATTATCAATGTATATAAGAAAAATCCGCAAAAAAATAGAAAGAGAATAAAATTGAGCGCACACCTGCCAACATCACCAGGTTTGACCAAGCCGACATTGGGTCTAAGACAAGGCACAGAGGCTGCAGTTTTGAGCAACTTAGGAGACTCAATTACTATAATTGGTGACCCAATTTCAAGTTTTTGTGAGCCTCCATTTGTGTTTAACTCACATTTGGTGATTAAATTGAGGGGTAATTGTGTTGAACCATAGCTAAATCTTGATGAACTTTGGCATTTGGGAATGGAGGTGAAAGAAACTAGTGCCATTGTGGAAGTAAAATGAAAAAAAAAAGGTGTATGGTTCTAAGTTCTAAACTTCAAGATTATGTTTTTGTGGTTCTAGGTAGAGTACAAGTGTTTTATGCATGGGGTACTACTTAGAGTACGTGGGGCCCGTGCGTGTGAAAAGAAAAAATGGTTAGAAAAAAGACCTAGGAAAATTTGGGAGATTTGATTTTGTAATCCTTTACAAATTTGATTTTTAATTTTATGTTCTTTTTACAAGAGATTTTCATTTTTACACAAGTGATCTGAAAATGTTGATTTCTTGTGTTTGATTAGCAAGTGATTATAAGAGATTATTTCCACCGAAAATTTCCATGATTGGATAAAAGTGACCTTTGAATTCACTAGTTCGAATAATTGAAATTCGTGTCATATAAAATTTTACTTTAAGAAAAAAACGTTCCTACTAAAATTTTGTGTATCAATTTTTATGTTCAACAAGTGTTTACTAACTAAAAACTTCCATGTGTTAATACGTTGCTTTTTTTTTCAGCCTTTGTCATCTGTTGCGTTACGCTTCAATTTTAAGTAGGTTGAGATGAAATACATAATTTTACATTGTTCATAAATAAGATTACTAAAAAATTTCTATATTTTCTAAAGATATATAAATGTTTGACAAGAATAAAGAATGTCATAACGAGGGTTATAACTGAAGCAGGTGATCTCCCACATAAGAATTTCAAATTCGAAACTTGCTGCATTCATTCTAGTTGGCCTTAATCGATTAGCAATTGTTAATGATTCAATTATCAATTTAACCAATAAAACTTGAAAGCTGATACTCTCTCTGTCCACAATTGTTTGTCAGGGTAAGGTCATGCACATCCCTCAAGGAAAATTTAATACAATGTGTAATTTGACTAATATAACCCTACTATATCAAGAATATCAAAAGTCCACATAACTTTTCAATTGAACTACACAATCATTAAGGGCAGAATTGGAAAACAGTGACTAATTATTTCTTGATTGTTTAAATTGACAATTAATCTTGGACATCTATTTATTAGTATACCTGCCAAACAATTGTGGACGGAGGGAGTAAAAAAGATTGAAAAAAATCATTAACCAAACTAATAAGACAAAACAACATAAACACAAAACAGATTTCCAAATTCCAACCAATTGATTGATAACTCAATCTCGATAAATTAATAATACTTTTTCGATTCAAGTTAATAAGTTAAGTCGAAAAAATCCTAACAACATTATTATTCAAAGAACTATTCTAGGGGTTTCACGGGTTGGTTATTGGTCAAAACCAAAACTAAACAAACTTAATCGGTTTTAAAATTATTAAAACCAAACCAAACCAAATATAATATACATTTATTGGTTTGGTTGTTTTCGGTTTTGGTTTGGTTTGGTTCGGTTATTAACCATACATAAAAATTAAAAAAACAATTCATTCAAAACGTGAAAAAAGTGACAACAATCCATTCAAACGAAAAAATAGTTAAAATGACTGGCATTACAGAACTTTGGATCATTGAATTTACTGAATAAAACTTCAAAATTCACTATTTTGGCATAGAAGGAAGAGACTATGACATTTTCAGTCCCACAATGAATTTCTATAGACACTCATATACATGAAACTAATAAGAAAAATGTTCTCACCTTGGACATATTTTCTTTCACAAATAAATTATAAATAAATTTTGATGAAACATATATAAAATCTTTAAAATTGTTTATGAATATAATATATTATGTATGTATAATAATAAAATTTATGTATATAACTTGTTGGTTCGGTTCGGTTATTTTTTCGATTTTTTTTTAACAAAATCATAACCAAACCAATGACTATCGATTCTTAACAATCTAAAACCAAACCAAACCAAAACCCAAATTAAATCGGTTTATTTAATCGGTTTGATTTGATTTTTCGGTTTGGATCGATTTTTATCCAAACCATGAACACCCCTAAACTACTCCATTAAAAATTTCCAATCCACATTTTTGCATTTATCATTTTCACAAAGATATTACAACAATATATAGCAAAAAATAGAAAAATAAAACTTTTTGCTACTTCTTTTTGCAATTATATTTACAAATCATATCATTGAAATACCCCTTTCTCTAACCCAAAAAGGGCAAAAAAATGATTTCAAAAAAATAATCAATGCCCTCTTTCTTTTTCATTTATTTAGTCCAAAAAATTCATATAATTAATTTGTAAATTCCATTAAAAAAAAATTATCTTTTTTGAAAAATAATATTTTTTTCTTACCCCTTTTATTCTTCTTTTATCTGTGATGAGTTTCTCCAAAATCCACCTTCATAAAACCGACCCCACATCTCCGTTTCCGATTCCGCCGACGCTGGCTTTCCGCCGCCGTTGCCGCCGACGGCATTGACATTTTCCGACTCTTTCCCGTCGCCGGCAGCGGTAACTTGGCAGCATTTGGATTCATTCTTCTTATTATTGCTATTATTCAAAAGCCTTTTCTGTTTATTTTTCCTCAACATTTTCCGGCACAATCCCGTCGGAACTTTATACACCGCCAGTATGAGAAAATGCATCATCGCACACGGAAGACAACAGCACACCGTCGCGCATTCCGCCGCCGTTCTTCCGGCGACTTCGCCTTTCCGTTTACGAAAAGTTTCGCAGTGATTCATCGTCGTCGTCGGCGTCGTAGTTTTTGTTCGTAACAACGGTTGTCGACGGTGCACCGTCGATGACCCTGTTGGCCCTGTCATCGCCGGCGATTTCATTTTGACCGGAAAAAAACAGGGTCAAAATTAATTTGTACAGGCTAATTCATTTTTGAAAAAGAACAAGAAATTGTGAAAAGGGGGAATTTAAAGAAGAAGAATTCAAGAAAGGAACAAATAAATTAAGAAAAAAAGGGATTATGAATTATGAATTTCTAGAGAAATAAACAAAATTAAAGAGGAAACATGAAAATCTCTCTAAGAGAGAGAGAGGTGGTAGTTGAAGAGGAAATTGGAAAAATGGAGTAAAAAATTTTTGAAAAAAAAAAGAAATTAAAGTTTGTTTGGCCTTGAAAATTGTGAATTTGAAAAATATATTTTTTATTTTTAAAGTGAAAAAAATATTTAAAAATTAGAGTTATATTTGATAATGAATTTAAATTTGAGTTGTTTTGAATTTTTGTAAGTGATTTTAGATGTCTATTTGTTATATATTTATTTGTGGGGGGCAATTTTTGTAAAATTAGATAAGAAATTTATTATATACTTTTTTTTTCATTATTATTATACTACATGAATTATATGTTTTATACTACATACTGGTATTATTTAGAAAGTCAAAAAAGTTCCAAAATAATTTTTATAAATATATTCTTAACTTATAGAAAGTTTTAATTTTGAGTATATGTAATCCTTAATGTTTAAATATATAAAAAGTCTTTCCAAGAAGTTGTCTTGCCTCAATGTTTATTTAAAGGAAAAATTGTGTATAGCAAACTATTAATTCAAAATATATGTTATAGCTATAGTTCCATTTAAATCTAATTCGTAGCAAACACATTGTCATTCGCCTTTCTCCCCTGAATCTCGCTCGCCACTCTCTGAAATCTCGCTCACCTCTCTCACTTTATACAAACACGATGTATAAATTGTGCTTGTGTTTGTGTTTGTATAAAGTGAGAAAGAATTGTATATACAAATACATATGTTTTCGTTCTATACACTTATAATTATACAAATATAAATCTTCCCCAGCCCAATTCTATTTTGCCTTTCTCTCTTTCTCGCTTTATACAAACACATATTATAAAAATTACAATGAATAATCTGTGTTTGTATAAAGCGCCCGCGCGAGAGAGAGAGATTTGATATAGCAATGTTTTAATTCGATTCAATTGTATACAATTCAAATATTATGCAGCTATACAAACACAATCATTGATGCATAGACATAGTATACAATTATCTAACCATATACATATACAATCGCTGCGATTTTATACATACGAGATGCCTGCGAATAAGATACATCTGATTTATACAAATCAGATAAGCGCAAACAGCAAAACTGTAGCTATAGAACACTAATATGATTTTTATGTTTGTTATTTCTAAAATTTGCTCTTATTTAAATAAGGGAAAAGATCTGTTATATCCCTCAACTTTGTTATTTAGAGATGATATAACTATCGGTACAAAAATGGCTCATATATACCCATATTGTTACACAAATGACTCATATATACCATTTTCCTCTGACGGAAGTGAAAAAAAAGTAGTTTTAAAATTAATTTTTAACATTTTTTTAAAAAAAAGGACAAATATACCTCCAAACTATCATATTTTACCGTTATACTTTAAGGTTATATATACCTTACCGTCAATATTTTGGATTGTGTATATCCTTGAAGCTAACAGATGGACACGTGGCTTCATCTAAATGATTTACCCGATTTTATTTATTTTTTTACCCAAAAATTAAAAATTCACCCAACCCACAACCAAAATGGGTGGTGCCAAAATCCACTCTTCATTGTCATAAAAAACCATCCCTCTATTCTTCTTAACTCACCATGACCAAGGAATCAAGAACTCATCTTTCAAGAAAGAAGTTGACATGTTCGCTAAAACTACTCTCTTGTTCACTTTCACTTCAAACTTTGTATCTTCGTCATTTCATCCAACTTCAACATGTAACATCCCTGCAAGTTGTGTCAATCTCGTGTCTTTCGAATTCTTTAAATTTGTAGACTTCATGCTTGCTGACAAAAAAAAAACTTCAACTTCATTTAGCAAGTAGGAATTGATAACGTTCAAATATACTTCTTGAAAAGAAATATAAACGATCGTATGCAATATATTTACCCAACTATGAGTCGGGGTCGATCCCACAGAGAATATGAAAGAATATTGTCAATAGAAAATATTTAACTCGATAGTCGTTATATAAAAATGGGGGGATTTAAATTGAAATAAAATAAAAACAATAAAAAGATAACTTTGAACTAAGTATTTATTTATATTCAGATTATTAAAAGTAACTAGGAATGTATTCCCCATAAGCTCATAACGCAGTAATCCTAATAATAGTAATCATTTTCTAGTGTATTACATGCAAAGTGATAAGTTAGGTATCTCTAAATCCTTGGTCCGGCATCTAGAGAATTTCACCCCGCACCTTGGTCTGGCTACGTGTGTATAATTTACTAACCCTTACCTTTACCTCATATTAGACATCATAATCGATGTTTGGCTTAGTTATTACTTCGCACCAATCGACACTAGCCTATTAGATAGTATCACACTAAATCTATGTTGATAATTCTTTTCTTATTGATTACCTCCTTGGTCCGGCAAGTAGCAACAAGGCGAGTTCTAACGTTGGCTAGCGTTAAAAAGACTTCTAGACGAAAGAATTATCAATGCATGCTTCAACACTATTCAAGAATTACTTAGTTATTATTCATACTTTGTTAATCGCTTATGGTTCCCACAACCCTAGTTATGAAAGTTAGCTACTCATTATCTCAAGAATACAATCAAAATTTATTAAAATAAATATGCTTGTGTTAATCATAAAAAGTTAAGAATAATAGCTAAACTATCTTTTATTAATCACGAATATAAATAAATAAAAAAAGAGAAGAAAGAATAAACCACAATTATCTGGCCTTCACGGCGGCTTTTCCAAAGTTTCTAAGCTAGAAGAAAATTTATATGGTGTTTTGTATCTTGGTTCTTGGCCTCCTCCCCAAATAATTATTTATGTGCACTATTTATAGATGTAGGAAACCCTAAATAAAGTAATTGAGTCCAAATTAAATTGGGAATCCAAAACCAAAAGGAATTGGATTCCTTTTATTTTTCCGCCGTGTGAATCATGGTGCTGCCGCCTCAACATATTTCTTCACTATTCACTTGCTGCCACGTGGCAGCAGCAAACATCAAAATTGAAATTCCTTAATTGCAGCCGTCATTCTCATGTATATATAAATATATTATTTTATTCAATTTAATTCATTAAGTTGTTTGCTTAATTTCCTTCTTCAACCTTTCATCTTTAATTTGTTTTAGCTCCAAACTTCTTCATTTTTCCACCAATTTAATCCTACAAATAAAATGCGCAATTTAGCACAATTTATAAAATTCATGCTCAAAAAGGACAAATATAAATAATAAATGTGAGAAAATAATGATTAAAAATATGTATTTTTAGCCTCACATCAGGAATCTAGATTATTGAGTGTTTTGTACATCATTTATTTCAAGAATATTTTCAACCCCTTTCAATAATAACAAATTGATTTGAACTTGAAATTTTCTATTTGATTGTAGACCCACTTTAAAGCTTGAAGCTTTGTCCATCAATGGTGGTAGTATTTTATCAACCCCTTTCAATAACAATAAATCAATTTGAGTTTGAAATTTTGATTCGATTGTAGACTCATTTTTAAGCTTGAAGCTTTGTCCATCAATGGTGATATTGTTTCCAACCCCTTTCAACATAATAAATTAATTTGAACAAAAAAAATGAAATTGATTTCTTGATTTTCATTGAAATAATGTGCTTCTGGGTTTTTGTTTGTGAGATTTGGAGAATGGTGCCAATGAAAATGAATTGAACATTTTTCATTTTGTGTGATTTTTTTTTTGGTAACTGTAATTGTATTACCAGATTTTCAAATATGTACAAATTTGAAGTTTAGGACATGGACATAATCCCAAGTCTCAAAGTCCATCACATTTGCCTTGCCCATGCTCTATGCTAGAATTTCTACTAAGGATAAAAAATTAGTTTATGTATAGCACTAGCCAGTCTAGGATTCATGCTACTTCTACAATGAATTTCCTGAATGATTTGTTTTATAATTTCCTCTATGCTCCTCTCCTTTTGCTGAAAAATTTTGTGATTCCTCTCTTGCCATATGTAATAAAGAGCTGAAGCTAATGTCATTCTATACATTTCATCTTGTATTGATTTCCTATTAGCATGCAATGTTGCCCATTCTATCTCTTCAGTCCACCCTGCACTACTTCTGGTGATGGACAACCATTGAAGTAGTATTTGCCATATCACATTTGCCACACTGCATGCAAAAAATAGGTATTGGAGTGTTTCAGGTTCTGCTTTGCACATTGCGCAAATTGAATCAGTGTTTATCCTCCATTTGTCTAGCCTGTCTTTTGTGTACAATCTCCTTTGTATAGCCAAGTATAGGATGAATGTCCATTTGGGACTGCCTTGATTGTTGCATATCATTTTTCTCCATGGCACATTGCTCACCTCACCTCTAAGTGTTTTATACATGTCCTTAATTGTGAATGTTTCAGCCTCCATAACCTCTGTCACTTGTAATCCTGCTTCTGATATCCAATGCCCTGCTTGTAGGATTTCTCTCACAACCCAAGAAGCTTGTTTAGCTTGCACTTCTCATGGTCTCTTATCTTTGACGTAGTAAGTATGGACCCATACTATCCATAACTTATCCTTTTTCTTAGACAGGTCCCATAAATATTTGAGTATTACTGCTTTATTCCACCCATACACATCTGTAATATTCAGTCCACCAGCAACCTTTTGCCAACATAATTTATCCCATGTTACAAGAGCTTTCCCTTTAGTTTGTGCATCATCATTCCATAAGAATCTCTAACATTTAGTTTATATCTGCTGCAACACTTTCTTTGGAAGGAGAAATATTTGTGTCCAGAATGCTTGAATGGATGTTAACACACTTTGTACCAACTGGAGCCTCCCTGCGTACGATTAAAATTTCACT